TCAGGGGGCTGTATAAAAATTGAGGCAAAAAGTTTGATCCCACAGATAGATAAGTACCAATTTATCTTCGAAAAAAACCAACGAATTCCCAGAAAGAACGATAAAGTGGATGAATTGTAAATCTGATAATGAAAAAGCACCAGAAAACAAGAGGACGTGAAGCACAGCACGGGAGATGTGACGTTGGAAAGTACCATGAATCGGGCAATAACGGAACTGTAGCTGTGGTTGAGTATTTGAATCAAGAAGTATCACGGAAAACCTGCGAAAAGCCGATCAAAAAGTCGCCACAAAGAAAAAAAGAAAAGTGTATCTTATCTTGAAAGGCAGATACGCAGTAGATGCACTGACAGGTTGAACCTGGAGCACAAGAACCGGTGGTATAGTGGTAACACATTGCGTCTGGACGTGAACGCGAGTGGTTCGATTCCCTCCTGGTCCACGATGGTTTTTGCAAGAAAGGGCTTCGTTCACAACAAATAAGTAAGGAAAATGTAACTTAACTGATTGTCATTAAAACTTTTTAAGGGATGGCGTAAACAACGGAACTTACCCGATGTGTGCACGGGCAGCAGCCCATCATTCGCTCCACGCCAACAGCATTATCTTGGCAGGATGCTCCATCTGTTCTCCCTTTCGTTTTTCCAGCAAAACGGCAGGCAAACAGCCTGCAAAATGTGTCATTTTAGCGGTGTGTTGGCTTTGTTTCTCATTAATAATTCATCAGAGACCACCAGAAAGCCACGGTGAAGATACGGGGGGAGGGAGAGAGGAGAAGAGAGTGCCTAACTAGCCCTGTCATTGGCAGGCAGGTGGGGTTGCCCACGAGCCAAAGGCTCGTCGTTATCGATGGGCCGAAGGTGAAGAAGAAGCATCCATGCCTAGTACACATTACGGAGAAGGCCATTAATGGAATTTTACATTTTGTTGCAATAACACCCCTTCTCCAATTCCGCCAACTTCACAAGCACTTTTATCATTAGAAGCAAAACTTTTATACAGAAGGCTTGCCTACGCGGGAGATCTAAATGGCACTTCTGAGACTGTTTTCATTAAATTA